AAACATTTAGATGTCAAACATTCTGTGTCTTTTTACAAAGCATTCTGTTGCAGCTGAATAACATGAGCAAAAATCAGCAGCCTACATAACACTGCAAGAGGAATTTTGCCTATGCTTTTAAAAAAATACCACAGCAACTACATTAATATAAATTTCAAATATTAAAGTGACAAGTAAGAAGACAAGTAAACAGTCAGTAATAAAATAGGAACAGACAAACCAATAAGCAATAGCATAAATAAATACAACTGAACCAAATTTCAGGTACAGAAACTGTAATTAAAAGTTTAAAAACATTGCATAGTTTTCTTTTCATAAATAGAATATAGATTAAACAATTAAAGTTATTAAATATATTCAGTCAAGATCAGTGAATGATTTTCTTTTGTTCTTTGATTAACATTAATGACAGGCAGAGTGTTTATTAGGCTGCTGTCTCTTTAACATCCCACTGATGCACATTACAAGTTATCAATATTTCATCTTACTTTTTGCCCATATATATATATATATATATATATATATATATATATATATATATATAAATATCTGCACCAAAATGCAAATATTTTTGCTCAGTTTCACCCTCTGAATAATACTGATGTGCATTTTATCCTCAAGTATGAGCTCCATATTTTCACAATATCACTATATGGGACATAAAGACCTGATGTATAAAATATGCTAAAAAAAAGAAAGAAAACTTTTTTCTTTTATATTTTGTACAGTTCTGTTAATAGTTGATGCATCAGATGGCATTCGAGTGATTGTAAGACATTTACGTGACTATGTCAGTATGCTGCAGGTGAAATTTGCAAAAATACTGTAAATTTGTCACAGTAAAGAGGGGAAACTAAGGAACAATGAGTAATGCATTCGAGTGGGTCGATCAGAGTTTTAAATATACAACCTTCAATAATGGATTTTCCCAAATGAGCTGCTAACAAACATGACATCAGTTAAAATCATGAGACTAGTGAGTTTTATAGGGGCTCCAGACAGTAATTGTGTTTAGTTTAAATGTTTATATTTCATTTCAAAACTTAAAATGATTAATTCAAATGAGTTTATGAACGATAATGGATGCACAAAACATATTTCATCATTTGCATTTACCTTGGTACCGGTATGAAAGTCATCCACAGCTGTGGTGCCCATGAATGACAGCTCCATGTGTGTGTGAGTGTCTATTCCACCCGGCAGCATGAGTCTGTCTGTGGCATCGATGACCCGTGTGCCAGCTGCTACCTGCAGATCTGAGCCAACTGCACTGATAACTCCATCTTCAATATACACGTCTGTCATCTCCGAGAAATCCACATTTACCACCTTTCCTCCTTTAATTAAAATCCGGCTTTGAGTTGTCATTTTCTATTGACTAAATAACTAATGCACAAACGATGATTAAAAAGAGTCCAAATTATGCTCTGTAAATGAATTTCTTTCTTCTGTAAACATGTACAAACTCTAAAAGCATGAACCACTGTGTCTGTCAGTGTTGGGTTAGAAGTGTGATCTGCAAGACTGAAGCTCTGTCTCTTTCTGAGTGTTTTTTTTTTTGTGGAACATGCCCGACCTATCTGTCCAGCCTGTTTCTGACATGATGAGCCTGATTTATCTGAGCTTGTTTCAGTGAACAGGTTCAAAAATCAATTAAACGCTCAAAGTGTTCTTAGAAGCCACCAGGTTCTAAATCTACTCTACAAACTTAGGCTATATTCTCTCTCTCTCTCTCTCTCTCTCTCTCTCTCTCTCTTTAGGATAATCTCTGTGACTGAACAAAATGTGTCAGAATATCTTTAAACGTGATTCAAACACGTCAGCTGTGAAACCTGTACGACCTGTTTCAAACAAGATATGAACGGAATGATGTAGGCTACACGATTTATCTGAGATAACCGATTCGTTCGGATGGTTCGTAGTAGGCTAAACAGATTTATTTTTATTTTATATGTGAGTCTTCACTCAGAGCATCTATCTTTTTGTTTATGTATTTTTAATGGGCCTAATGTTTTATTATAATAAGCTTGTGTTTTAAATAGGCTACATTTGATATGATGATTCGTTTAAGCATCAGATGTGATAGTAGCCTGTATGGTAACCTTTCTAAATGTCATAAAAATGTTTGAAGGACGTCTAATATGTGACCCTGGACCACAAAACCAGTCATAAGTGTCATTTTTTCAAATTTTTTCAGAATAAATAAGCTTTCCATTGATGTATGGTTTGTTAGGATAGGACAATATTTGGCCGAGATACAACTATTTTAAAATCTGGAATCTGAGGGTGCAAAAAAATTGAAATATTTAGAAAATCGCCTTTAAAGTTGTCCAAATGAAGTTCTTAGCAATGCATATTACTAATCAAAAGTTAAGTTTTCATATATTTACAGTAGGAAATTTGCTAAATATCTTAATGGAACATGATCTTTACGTCCTAATGATTTTTTGGCATAAAAGAAAAATCAATAGTTTTGACCCATACAATGTATTTTAGGCTATTGCTACAAATGTACCCCAGCGACTTGAGACTGATTTTGTGCTCCACGGTCACATATAGACTAGGTCGGCCTACAGCCTACTGTATTTACTGTATGTCTGACTACGGATACTTGCCACTTAGGCCTATGTTTGATCAAAATCAGTTATTGGTTTGAAGTGAAATATTTTCCTACAGTTCCTATCAAACGACTTCTAGCCAAGAAAACGAACAAGAAACGCTGTATGTTATGTGTTTTACTTCTGTTGTTTTCAGTCGTGACCCGCGGTTAAATTTCCCTCCCTCCATGCATCCAGATGGCGCCATTTACCCATTTTTGTGTGATAAAGGTGACAGAGAAAGGCTATGAAGTATTAACAGTGATCTGAAATGTTATCACCTCAGCCCGGACTCAGAGACCTTCAAGTGTGAGGAACAAATTAACCTTCTTCCCTGACATAGCATCAGATATCTTGATATTTGCAAGCTGTAATGATGATATCTCAGAATCATTTTAAAAAGAAATTATGCAAAATATGAATAATCATAATCAATGATTATGTTTCTGGTACAGTGTCAATGTGCAATGCATCCTTGTAGGAACAATAAAGTGCTTGTTTGATTGAACATCTTACTTTCAGCTGTTTTGAAAGGCAAATTTGCCTCCGTATGCTTCAGATCATCATTCAACATCTCAACTCAAAGCTGAATGTGCATAAAAGTTCAAATGCAGCAATCAAACTAGAGACGCTTATCTAATAGGCCTAGGGTGTCTTTGTTGGTGTTCTGATGTTGGAATAATGATAACCTGACATGAACAGTTCCAGTAAATACATCCATTTGAATATTCTGTCTTTCTTCCTTTTCTTCCAAATGTGCCTAATTTGAATTGCAAACATACTGAATACAAAATCTTAGATTTGCCTTAGATTTCAGCATAATTATGCTGCTGCCTACTTAGCTACAATTTGGAACAGATATAATTCAAAAACTACAGTACACCTCTGGAAATCAGACACATACTGATTTTACCCAGTTATTTGGTTTTCTTCGGATCTTCCAGCCATGAAACTGTTCATCACTCTGGTTCTCATCACCGTTTCTTTCTCCACAGGTATACTATGATTTAGTTGTTTATCTATTTATGTTTACCATTCAACATTTCATGATGCTTATATATGCATTGTTGTTGCTGCTGCTGTTGTCATTCTATATGTAGGAACAAGACTTGTGAACTTTAATAGTATGTAGTTTTGTTGTTTTATTTTATTTAAAATTGTAATTAAAGTTAAAAACTGATTTTATGTGTTTTATATGGCATTCTCTTTATATTTCAGTGCTCGCACTGAGATGTTACCAGTGCAAATACAAATACAGTTCATCTGAAGAATGCAAACAAAATCTAACAAAATGTCCTCTGCAGTGTGGCTCCGTCACCATATACAGCAGTGAGCATTACATGATTATGAAAAATTCATATAAGTTGAAGAGTGTTTTTATTTTTTTATTTTTACACAATCTTCATATAGTTTTTTTATTGTCTGTGTAGATGGCGGTACATTATATAGCAGTAAGAAGAACTGCACAGATCCTGCCTTGTGTGTTATTGACAGCATACATTTTGGACAAAACAAAACAGTCTTCAATCCCCAATGCTGTGACACTGACCTCTGCAACACTGAAGAGGCACCAGGTACATAGATATATGCGAACAGACATTTTACAATGGTTGTATTCCATATTTTATTTTTGTAGTGTACAAATTTGATGTTAATCTGTTCTCAAATGAATTCTGTTTTGATTAGTCTCTGCATTGCACTAACTACTATTCTTTTTCATTCTTATCATAATATGTGTAGCAATGTCACGATTTTCCAATGGGAAGATGTGCTACGCTTGTGACTTATTTAGTAGAGACTGCTCAAAAACTGTGACTTGTTCAGGTGATGAGAACAAGTGCTTCAGTATAACAGGTGAATACAGTCTCCATTCAAAATGTTCGACGTGAACAGAACTGCTTGTTTACTTTTTTGTAGTATGTATACCATAACAATCTAGTTTTTTTTCCTTTCCCAGAAAGTATAACTGGCATAAAAACGAAAGGATGTGGGAACGAGATGATCTGTGAGAATAGTGTATTAAATACTCTGGGGTCTATGGCTGGTGCTCAGATGACATGCTGTGCAGGAATTCTGTGTAACAGCAGTCAGTGCTTGAAACAGAGTCTCTTCCTGCTGTTGGGGCCGCTTCTTTCTCTCTTTTCCCTCTGAGATGTTTTTGGTTCTCTAGAATTTTTTATATATTTTTTGTGCTTTATAGACATCCAATAAGACATTTTTTGTAGTGGATGAAGTATCTTTCTATATAATCATGAATCATGATGGCGCTACTTTTTTAACTTTCTCTCTACTGGTTTTGGTCAAGGTAAAACGTTCTTGGTTAATTGAAGATCATTCTTTCTTTCTTTATTCTAAACTTATGACGTATTTTATTCCCGAAGGGGTAGATAGAATGACCTAAATATGAAAATCCACCATAAAAAAGTATACAATTTAAACAAAGAGTGAAATAAAGCATTTTGAAACCATTGAAACTATTTTCAATTTTCCCCCTCATATTTTTTCACATAACAAATGTCGTTTATTTATTTTTTTCTTTTCTTTTCCAAAATGTTAATGTACTTGGCTCTTAAGGAGACATCATCAGGGTCAGTGAAAAGCATGCTTGAAATGAGATGTGCCCAAAACAAAGACAAATCAAGGCAAATTAAGGCAAATATCAGCTGTGAGCAGACTACTTTCACTACACAAATTGTATAGGCTGATAGCATAAAGACTCGATTCTTTACCAAGCCGACCAATCAGAATCAGTATTCAAATGACACAACGTCCTTTGCTTGGGTCTGAGACTGAAGAAGAAGGCGCAAGGCATGCTAACCATTCAGGCCAATCAACTTTAACATATTAGTGCATTATCAAAGCTGCTTTTTGTTAAGACAACAGGTGAACATAAACTTAATATTGGTCAAATACCTATTAATCAAGGGTCTGAGAAGAAACGAGATTGAATGGCAGTGTAATTTATAAATTCATCTTCACACATGTGAGTGCTAGATGGAATGGTGCCCTGCATTTAGGTAAAAATTAGTAGGCTATAATTAATCTTATGACACTTGAGTGATTTGTGCCGTTGTTTTGATGTATTGATACATGTTCTTTTTGGCGATCGAAGAGATGATATGTTTTTTTTTTACTATGATATCGAGCTGTACATATATCACAGTTTCACAAAATATGTTTGATAAAAATAAACCCTGCTGTATGTTTATTTATTTATTTAATTTAATTGTTGGTCCGATCAATATTAGGCCTAATTAACATATTAGCCTTCTAGGAACTCAACAGCCGTCAGTCAACTGCAGACCCACACTTGGAGAGATTTACTGTGGGTTATTTGAAGTCGTTTTTATGACCACACGGAGGGTGCTGTTTGTCAATGTAGGTTAATAAAGTAGTCAATTCAGATGTTGTTTTCGGCTCTCACTTATTGAAGAGTCATCTCTGCTGTGCAGTTCCCTTTAAACTCTGCACGTTTTTAAAAATTTTATATGCTTTTGGTGTAATTTAATGATCAGACGTGCTCAGACACGTAATCTTTATTAAGACGCAATTATTTACACAATGGCAAGAAAATTAACAGGATGGGGGGAAAAAACTAAAGTCATTGATCAGTGATGTATTGGCTTTACATGAGGGGTGTCAAAATAGGTTTTAAAGGAAAAGGACATAGGAAAACTTATAAACTGATAACCTATTAAAACAGTTTGTTTGATCATTTATTTATATTATTTATTTGTTTATTTTATTTGTGGATTTATTTAATTCATTTTTTGTGAATTTGTTTATTTTTTAATGCAAAATATGTAATAAAAAAATTAACAAAATAAAAGCACATAGCCAACATCACTAAAATATAACTGTGACTAATATTGATTTCCATATTTAAAATGTGTGTGCTTAATATTCCATCCGATGCATTAAGACAAATGCATAGTGAGGAAGACCCAGGAACAGTTTTTCTTATGCTGAATCAGGAAATTCTTCATGTACCTACATGTATCTTTAGGTTATGGTTGCACCAAAAAGTTGTGCTGTTGTTGTGCTTATTGGCTAATTTGCATTGACAACATTGTTTTTATATGCAGTGATTTGACGGAGTGTATGAATAATGACTATAATGATTTATTTTGTTGTTGTTGTTGGTTCCGTTGGGTCTTTTTGTTGTTGCACAGGAATATCCTCAGAGCTGTGAATTGCATCAGCCGGTTCAGGGAAAGTCTTTTCACTGTCACAGCATCTTGTGCAGCTTACTTTGTCTTTGCTGCGTTAAAAAATAGAAAACTGACATGCACGAGAGACACAAAGATGCATGTGCTGGAAAGATAAGCAAGCCTTTAGGGTTTATAAGTACCTAACCTCTCTCTGTCTCTCTCTTTATCTTTATTTTTTCTCTCACTCATTTTCTCCCTCACACACATACACACGCTGAACAATTCTGCATGCCTTAAGAGGATTTACAGGGTGATTTGAAGTGTAATCAGAGTATGAAATATTAAGAAAGCCAGGGCATCTACACTGCGCCTCTGCAGACGGGGATAAGAATTAACTTTCGCTCGTCAAGTCTGGGAGAGTTCAGAAAGTGTTGTTTGTTTATCGAAGCGCTTGCGTTCTTATAACATGATCATCAGCTGCCAGACGTGACTGACGCCTCTGCCGCTTAGAAAGTATCTTTCATATTATGACCATAGCATGCACTGTAAAAATGATTGTCATTTTAATGGTACAGTATGCTGCGGTAAAAACCTCTTAAGTTCCCTTACTATATAAGGTGAAAATCTAATCAATCTAACAGGACATTTAATGTAATTTTACTGTGAATTACTGTAATTTGTCATCTTATATGAAAAACTGTAATGACATTCCCAGTAATACCTGTTTGACACTAAACATGATTTATTTTTTCCTTGTGAGTTATTTATATTAGGGTTTTATGTAACATGTAATTTTTGTTTTCAGTTTTAGTTATTTTAGTACATCAAGTTATGAAATAATAAGTAAAGTTTTTATTTTAGTTAACATTTATTTTTATTTCAAGTAACAGAATTTTATGGTTCCCCTTCGGGAACTCGAGCTGCGTCGGAAAACGCTAGGGGAACGCCTTCAGTGATACCAAGCTCTGAATCATATGTGTAATCAGTCGAACGATGGGCGAGACGTCCGCAGCGGGTGACGTCATGACCAGGAAGCTTTAAAAGCACGTGAGGTGCCACCGGCGCTAGCTTTCTGTCATTCAGCGAAGCTCTCTGTGTGTGTCGGTCACGATTTATGTTCTGTGAGTCTTATTTATTGTTGTCTGTCCAAAGTCTATAAGCTCCAGCTATGTCTAAGCTCATGCAAGGACAAAGCATTTCAAGGCGAGAGCAGGCCACGTTGTAGGTTGTGTGTTCCTCCCTGCCCAAAGATAAAGTTATATCACGAGGGGGGATGCACACAGCCTGTGCGTGGTTTGCTTGCGAGCGAAGCATAGTTGTTACTGCCTTGCCACGCTCTCAGAGGGCTCTCTTTGAGGAGGGAGCTTTCACTAGCGTTCCTCGCGGTGCCGGCCCCGCTTTCGCCGAGGCGGAGCGGCGGATGTGCTCGTGGGTTTCTTGTATGGATCTGCTAATCACCAGATCCGACGCCCGCTCTCGGGGTTCGGAAGCCCGCGCTGCGGTACTTCCCCCCCGGGGAGAGGGCGCGACGCTCCGCCTGTCTTTCTCCGAGGAGATTGATACGGAGGGCGTCAAAGAGCTCGCAAGTTGCACAAACATCAGTTACACAAGCAAACAATATTATGCCTTATATTATAATGAGCAGCATTAATAAGGAGCGGAGCTCGCGCAGCCGGGGC